GCTATTGTAATGGTCTAAATTAAAAAAAAAAAAAAAAGGAAAAGAAACAAAAAGAGTGTGTTTCAGTTTACATTTCTTTTGCCTCCGTGAGGTAGATACTGTTGAATGTGCTGAAGGCTGGTTTCTGGCAATCTTTTTTTTCTCTGTTATGAAATACTTGAGGATGTCAGAAGTGATGCAGCACCAATAAGGCAGGAGAAGCAAGTGCCTTTGGACTCAGTCCTAGAATTCAGTGGCATATAAAGGGCACTCAGTACCTTGTACATTTTCATATCTTAAAGGGTATAGACAAGAGAAACCTTTTACCATAACAGGAATTTAATTTCATAGTCTTCACATGAAATAGAAAGATGAACATGAATTTTGGGAGAGTTAATATGCAAGGAGGATGATTTTGGAGCATTTATTTTATAAATGGGACAAAGTAATAATATATTTTTGTTTTGTTTTTCTTGAATGAAAAGCTAGAAAATACTTCTTTTAAAATTATAGTGTTTGGAGTTAATCAGAGAAATAAAGGAGGGGCTGATACTTTTCTCGTTGCTTGCAAATTGTAAATTGCAGTTATTCGCAATCATGCTTACAGCTGGCGTGGGTTCATGTGCATAATCAGCCGCTTTTTGAATGCATGTTCTATTGTTCTGTTTTATTTATGGATTCAGTTGTGATGAGAAAGACGTTATGAAGTTGTTTGGATGAAGCCTTGAAAATGTCTTTTAGGAGTTTTGAAAGTCAGCAAGTCCCTGGAGTTTAGGGTACAAACCAGGGCTGTGCGTAGCACTGGAAATTTAGATGAACAAGTTGAAGAGTTTTCAGCCTCAAAATGGAAGGTCAAATTCTGCTTTTGGACTTTGTGGAGCATGAGCCCACAAAATTCTGGACTGACACAGGCACATTGTTACTATCCAGTTGAAATATAGCCAGATCCAAAAGCCCTGAGGTCAGGAGTCATCCCATTGATGTCAGCATCCAGACCTGTTCTGGTGGAACAGGAGGCTGAATTTCTACCTCCAGTCTCCTTGTGCAAATGATGTGGCAGCAGACTTTTGGTGCTAATTATCAGCACTAACCTTCTGATTGATGTGAGTTTGCTTATGTGATTATTTTTCTTAATAGCTATGGTTATGTGCCAAGACCATTAGAGGGGTTGTCTTTTTGGGAGAGACTTGCCTTGGGTTACTGATTCCAGTGTCTCACTTGCTGAAACCACTTGGGCAATGCTTTTTGAGTCTGCACATCTAAAATCTTTGTTTTTCCTTCCACCTTTTGTCTTAATCTGTTTAAACTACTTGCTTTTCTGGGAAGACATCAGTTCTGTGTTTGTAAATATACAGTGATGCAGGACTTCAGTCTTTTTGGGACCACTGACAATGGCTGAACACAAATAACAGTAATTTCTCTCTCTTCTCAGTGACAAATTTTTTTTTTCTTCCCTATGTGCCTTTCAATGAAATCAATATTTTGGCTGAAAACAAGAGCCAGGAGCTGAACTTGTAACGTCACTCAATTCTGTCTGGATCTCTGTGAAAGGCAGAATGGGGGTGGTTGTGTGAGTAGCAACATATATATAGTGGGCTGACTTCTCAGCCTTGTGTGGGAAAGTGCCTTATGCTCAATCTTCTTGTGTAAGTAAACTTCTTTACTTGGGTCTTCCCTCCTCCTTCTGTCCAGTAAGAATTATTATTTTAACTGAATTTCATTAGATCAGTTGCCACATTCCACAGCAGATAATAAATCTGTAAAAGATATGTATATTGCAGGCTGACACCATGACATGTGCAGCTGCTTGCTAGATAGGGTTAAAATTCTGTATCATCTCTCTAAAAAATCATTAGTTTTTAAACAGGAAGGAAATAAACTGGTTGGTTAGGTACTATGCAGGGAGCTTTTAATTAAAAGATGTTTAAATCTGATTCTCTCAACTGTCAAAGAATTGAATTAATGAATTATGTTTGCTACAGTTGGTTGTTTGGTTTTTTTTTTTTAGTAACACTGTATTTAAGTTCTTTGTGTGCACTGCCTTAGGGGATAGATGGTACCTCTTGACAGATTCAAACACAGCTGGCTGAGAACACTGCTAGTGATGGATGAACAATGTCTTTGTTAATGCCCCTGTATACATAAATGATGGGCTTGCTTTATTTATTTATGAGATGTATCCAATTACACATCTCAGAGCAAATGTCCACTGTTCAGTAAAGCACACAATATTGGCTTTAAAAAGACAATCCCTGAAATCAGTGATCAATGTGTTTTCCTCATTCTCTGGAGAGATTGAAATGAGAGGTAAACCTAAAATTCAGCAAATTCAAGGAAGTTCTTTTGGGACCTACTCCTCATCTCTAAGAAGTAGCTGAAACTTAACCAGGGAACCTGCTTTCTCTGCTCTGACCACAAGCAGAGCTGCCTCTGGAAACAGCACACTGGGTTCACCTAAGATCACTCTTCCATGTGGTCTGGATGGACCAGTCCCACCAGTACAGCAGGTCAGATTCTGTTGTCAGACAGTGATGGCTAGGGTTCACTAGGCTGTTACCTTCTGGGATATGTTTTAGAGAAGTAACCCATCCTAATTATTAGAAGTGGAGGAGAAAGAATGGTTTTGCCCATCATGTAACTTCAGCATAGGGTTTTGGGTTTTTTTACTGTGTGTTTGTATTCACAAGCTGATCCGATTTATAACTTGAGATGTGCAACCCACATGAGAAACTTCACAGTGTAAATTAAGTTGGTTTCTTTAATCAAGTAGGTTAGCTATATACTGAAACAATTCTTAGTATTTTTCTATTAAAGAATTAGTCTGAATAAAGATGGTTGTGCAGATAATCAGGGTGTTAAGCACTTTTAGACTCAGATCTGTTTGCCCTCTTGGTAGATACCTAATTCAACTAATAGTAGGGTAAATGCATACTTATGAGCAGTTTGTATTGAATAGCTAATGCACTGCAAATTCATCCCTACTTTTCTTGTGGTAACTTATTTATATAGAAGTATCCGGAATTACAGTTATGGCATAAATTGATAACATAGCTAAAACCTGAATCTTCTGACCTAGCAAGGAGCAAGTCTTATGTCCAGTCCTCGATTCCTGATACAAACCTGTTACAGGGGCACTGGAGTCAGCTACAAGGCACAAATCAGCCCTACCTGGCCCACCAGTTACCAGTGGAAGCAGGCAGCAATATATATGACAGAGCTCTGAAACATTTGGAAGGTTGTGGAGCAGAAGCCCTAAGACATGGAGCTAGCATGAAGATGGAAATGCAAGAAGCAGTTGAACTAGGATAGGCTTGTGATTTTCACAGGGGTGGTTGCTGTTTGGCTTTACCACTTTTCTGTTGTCCACCATTCTTTCCTGACGGTGATATCCCAGCAGTTTATTAAGGCCCTTTCCAGAGGCAGTGGAGAGCAAGCACGCCTTATTCTTTGGTTTTAGCTGTTGTGGAGTGTAGCAGTTATGTTTGTTTCTCATGCTGTCTTACTGGCTGTCTCTGAAATGTGGTGTTTTCATGTTGGATATGGTAGTTCTGCAAGAATTTATATTCACAACAAGGTTTTAGCAAGACAGAATTGCAACCACTAGGCAAATCATGTAGAGTTCAGTTTGGTTTCTAGGAACAGAGGCTTACCAGTTATTTTTCACTGGTTTCTGTGCTATTATGTTGTTGTGATAATCTTGGCAGGGATCTGTCACTCTGTGTTGGTATAATTGAAACTTGTTTTCCCTGAGGAATCACTCTGCTGTTTGTTTTATTTGTTTACTGACATTGACAGAGATCCTAATGGCTTTTAAAACCCAATTTGTGCATCACTGAATATCCTCCAAAGAGGAAAATAAAATTAAATTTATCAGTAAAATAGGGTCCCCCATGCAATGCTTTGTCTGGGTCTTAGACTCCACCTGAGCACCTAGCTGTGGGTCTAGAAATGGCATGGTGAGCTGCATCTTGTCTTTGTTTCTAATTCTGTCTTTGGGGCTTTTGTCATTAAGATACTTGAAAGGATAAATGACTATGTTATTTAGGGCATCAGTATAAGTTGACCAGCTTTGCCTTGTGAGAAATAAATTAGCTTTTATTAAAAAGGAGGTTAAGGTAACAAAACAATAACCACAATAAATTTCCCCTTTTGGGAGGGTACACATGATTGTATCACTTACTGTTGTTATAAATCAAGGTAATTAAGTGGCTAGATTTTTAAAATATATGATATCAAAGTATTTATGCATTTATTTTTTTAAGCCTTTGAAGAATTTCAGTGAGATCATTTGGATTACTTGTGTTCATAATGCCTTGCTGAATTGTGTTTATAGATAGATGCATGGCTTGTTGCATGCCATGCTCCAGAGGAGCATGCACACAAATGATAAAGCACAGAACAGACATTCAGGAACGTGAGAACAAAGGGTGGGTTTCTTTAAGGACTAAAGAATGCAGGATATTTTTTTTAACACCCCCAAAGCTGTGGGTTTGTATTGGATGAATTGTTGGTGACTTAGACCATCTGTAATTACCTTTTGACACACTTCCTTGTCATTCAGGTATATAGGGATTGCCCAGGTTTCAGTGAACTCTGACTGCGAACGTCATGAGGAGATAAGTTTGGAGAATACTGCTTATTTTAAAGGTTATCTGTCAGTTTGTGTATATACAGCTGTAAACCAAACCAATCTGACCTCAAACCAGAAGTGTAGTATAATAACACTCTGCCTTTCTTATTGTATATATCTTTTGCGAATCTCCCTGACTTTGATAGCACTATAATAACAGATCTGCAATATTTATGTTGCCTCTTCTAAGGAAGTGTTCTAATGTGCCTTGGAAAGGTGGGTAATTGGTATTATCTCCTTTTTTACAGAAGGTGAATTAGAGGTACAGAGAGAGAGCCCAGACCATTTGACTCCCACCTCCTTGTTCTCACTGCTTGGTTCAGTAGTGCAAATCTTGACAATATGTACTTGTGCACTTTCAGTCTGATCTATGTGTTGTATTGCATTGCAGTGCCCAGAACAAGGATTTTGGCTACTGGTGGTGCATCTCACAATAAAAAGATCTTACAGGTAAGCAGAAAATTAAATCATTTGAACTGAACTTGCAGTTTAACCTGCACCTTTATTTTGGTGTACTGAATCCAGATCACTGCAGCTGCCCAGGAAGGTGTGGATATGGGATTGTGAATCAGTTGCAGGTCTTTGGGGCTTTTCTTCAGGTTTAGTGTAGAAACTTAGCTCAGTGCTAATTTTATATTGAACTTTAAAGGTTCTTTTACACTCAACTAGTTTTATGAATGTGTATCTGAAGAACTGGTGATTTCCAGGTCTCATCACTTATATCAAATCAGTCAGCAAAGAAATCAAGAGGAGGCTTGATATGATACCTGACATTTTTGTAGTTTTTGTAATTCAGATCAAAGTTGGAGGGGGATTTTACTGGAGCTGAATACACAAAAAACCCACACCAAACAAACAAAAAATCCCAAATAAACCCCCTAAGCCTGCCCTTGTTGTTCTGAATATATCTGTTACTTCTTAGCATTGTGTCACATATCGGGGGAGGCTATGCTTCTGTACAGTCTGTCCCCCCTCTTCCCACTTCCTCCTCTGCTGCTGTTGCTGCACATCCAGCCCTGGTTAAGATCCTTCGCCTGTCTTCTTGAGAACAATGTACTGCATGCTCTCTGTTTCCTGCCCATTGAGGTATGGCAAAGCCTTCCTCATGAATGGCGAGAGGTTTCTCTCACTTGGCTTTTGCTATCACAGAACTATACATCTGGGTTGGGATTCATCTTGCCTGAATGGTCAGGGGAGATCTGGTCAGTTACAGTGCAAAGGAAACTGGATGATGTTTTAACTTATTAAATGTAGATGTCTCCCTCCGGGTGAGCCAGAGAGCTTTCTGTACTCCACTGACTGCCTTGAGAAGCTCCCCTTTAACTAGAGGTGCAGACACAGCCTGGAGCTAGATGTTTACACCAAAAGGCATCTGTCTTAATCTTGAGCTGAGTCCTGTTATTGAAGTTAGTCAACACAGGGTGAATTGCTTTCTGGACATGCCAGTTCCTTTCCGTCAGCTAGAGAGAGTCTAGAGGACAGCCTCAACTATGTACCATATTATTTGACAATTACAGTCATATGAAAGGAAACTGGCCTGCTCTGTGAATCCTGAGCTGGAATAAATGGAGGTTGAAGGGCAAAGAGCAGAAAGCTCACTCTCTCCTGAGGCATCTAAAACACATGTTTGTATAACCATTGGTTGTGCAGCTGATTGGGACACAACAAATTTGGCATGTTTTGCCTGTAGATGTCACTACTTTTCATTTGCTTTGGTTATTTTGCTTAGGAACTTGACGTTGGAAAATTAACTCATAGGTTACTTGCTTAAAACATTGGTCCCTTCTGGAGTAATTCTATGAAGGATACATCAGGAAAGAAACTGGATTAATATATGAGTTTGTTTTTAAAGCTCTATCCCTGATTTAGGTGCCAGTAGGTTTTCCTTGCTGTGGAATGAAGGTAGAAACTGAACAACCTTATGGAATCACAGAATGGTTTGGGTTGGAAGGGACCTTAGAGATCATCTACTTCCACCCCCTCTGCCACGAGCAGGGACACCTTCCACTAGACCAGGTTGCTCAAAGCCCCGTCCAACCTGGCCTTGAACACTGCCAGGGAGGGGGCAGCCACAGCCTCTCTTGGCAGCCTGTGCCAGTGTCTCACCACCCTCACAGTTAAGAATTTCTTCCTTCTATCTAATCTGAATCTAGCCTCTTTCAGTTTAAAATCATTACCCATTGTCCTATCACTACACTCCCTGATAAAGACTCTCTCCCCATGTTAAACAGCAGTGGTCCCAAAACTGACCCCTGAGGAACACCACTCGTCATTATAACATGTAATTCTGTGACATACACAGCTGAAAAATTGTGGGGATGGGAGAGCGGTGGCTGTGGTGCTTGCTATTCACGTGTAACAATACAGCTGCTTTTAAAACTCATTAGAAGTGTCTTAAAATAATATGATCAATACAGTGTCATCCATTTAATTCAATCACTGGTTAATTGGATTCTCTTTTTTAATTTAATCAAAACTTCAGAAACCATATCAGTTGCACGAAGTATAACAGCTTCCACTCTTATCATGGTCAATTTTGGGTAATTTGTTCCAGGGCTACAAAAGACTATCATTTAATTAATCAGCATTCACTAACTCCTATATTTTACACCACAAAGGAGGCAACTTAGGAAAATTTGTTAAAAAAGTATAGTAGGGTGGCTTTCTCCATGGTTCTGGGAACCTTTCTATAACATACATGGTGCTTGGTTAATAACCACATGAAACGCAGTGAAATTTTTTTAACCGTAAAACCTCTTAACAGTTTCTTTTAAAATTATTCATGAGAGAGACCACAGTTTCAAATTACTTACTAAATATATGAACTTTGAATAATTTTAATTGTCACAAAAGGTAGCTATTATTTGTAGTATTACAGCACTTATTAGCATTCAGTATAGGGTAGGGCTGCATTGTATAAGGCTGTGCAGAGATGCAAACCAAAACAAAACAGATCTCTGTTGTCCAAAAGAACGTACAATTCAAACTTAAGAAATACAGATTAGAGATGAGATGAAGAAGCAGATGGGAAATGTGCTGAAACAATACAGTAGTATTGGCTGGCAGGATGGGCAGTGGAACCAGCACTCTGTGACCTTATAATTTCCAGAGGGCTTTTTAATGGATTCCGTGATTAATTTTCCATTTGTCCTCTAGCACTGAAGCTCATGTATTGCTCAGTGTTGGCTTGCAAACAAAATTAGGCAATACTGACTTGGCTATCTTACCAGAAGAGAGAGTTTTAAATGCATAAGCTCAGGCTTCCATTGTATTCTAGTTAGCAGCCAGCCATTTTTGTTTAAAATAATAAAAATTGGTGGTTTTCAAAGGTTTTAGTTTGCAGATTCCCAACAGATTTTTAGAAAAAGAGGCAAAATCCTTTAGAAATGTCACACACTTTTTTTTTTTTTTGGATAGCATGTGTGGATTGAACTTGTTAGTCATCTGTTATGAAGCCTTGGGGCCCATGATCAGTAGGGCTATAAATTCCTGGATTGGGCTTGCAGATCAGTAATCCAAATGGTTTGGATTCCTGGATGCTCTGGCATTGCTTTAGACTCGATTGTATGATTGTAAATCGGGTGATACACTGTTCCCTTTGGCAAAAGTAATAAAACCAGCAGATGTTAAATCTGAATTGTTACCTGCTTCTTGCATTGCTCAGCCTGAGGGGCACTTGCAACCCTAGAGGTGATGAAACCAAAATGGAAAGAGTTTGTTGACAATGTTTTTGGAATACAGTTACTGAACCTCCAGTGTTCCTATCCAAATATGTCTTCATTTTTCCCCTTCTGTATCTGTTTTCTTAAACCTGCACTGTGGGGAAGAGCACATGTACTCAGTGAATGTGAGATGCCTGGTGACAATTTCAGTGCAGAGCGATGTGTGGTTGAATAACTTTAGTATCTGTTGGATACAGTAACAAATCATTTGCCTGTAAAATTTTCTTTGTATTTCTGAAGCCAAGTTGAGAAGTGTCTTGGTATACCTTCATAGCTAAAGATCCCTTGAACACAGGAAAATTGTAGCAGACCTTCATACTGCTGGAGGTTTTTCTTTTATCAAAGTTAAGAACTGAGGAGCCGTGACTGGTTCCTCTTTCCTTCCTTCCCACTTGGCTCAGCCATAAGCATGATGGCAGAAAGCAGGCACCGGTTGTGGGTCCCTGAACAGATCTCCTTGCCCCAATGTAAGCCTTTGGCATGGGCTGATTTGGCTTATGAGATGATGCTTGGACCTAGGGTCCTTTGAATTTTTAATAGAGAGACCCGGAGAGAAATGAGACTTTGTTTCCTGGCTGCATTTACATCTCTAGCTCAGATGTACCAATACCCTGGCGTGTGACAAGTTCAGGACTCATTGTTGCCTGCAGTGCTTCTTTCCATGTGTACCCAAATGCTTGGCTGAGGTATACAGTAGCTATTTGTTTTCCTAAGCAATGATAGGGGATTGCTTATCCATTGTCTTTCATGGACATGCATAACCCATGCTTTGGTACTTCTCAGGTCCTGTCTGATGTGTTCAACGCACCAGTGTACACTATCGATACTGCCAATTCTGCTTGTTTAGGAAGTGCTTACAGAGCAATTCATGGTAAGACTGTAAGGAGATACTTCTGAGAGTTCTGGGCATTTAATTTCAGTTGGTTAATACTTGGGATTAACATTACTGAAAATGAGGGGAGAATAAAGCTATGTGAATCTGACTGGAAAGTGACTCAGGTCAAAGAGGGGTTTTTGCTCTTAGTACACTTGGATCAGGCCCAAGAATAACATTTACATTATAATTCAAGTCTGGTGACTGCTTCTCAGCCAAGGAATAGGGCCTGGAAACTGTTGATACTGACAGGGAAAGATCTAGGACCTTAATGTGTTAAGTTGCTAAATCCATGTGCTGCTCTTGGACAAATACAGCCAACTGAAGATGCTGGTGTAGCTTGCTGCCCCAGTTTGTGGACCAGGCTGGATTGTCTGGTCAAACCAAACAAAAGGTCAATTCTAGCAAAGAAGATCAGAGAGGGTGGAGATGACAGGACCGGCAATACTGCTGGCCAAGTAAATGTTATTAAACCTTATATGTATCTTCCAGCTTTTAAACGTCAAGATGCAGATGTGCAAGGTGTGCTGGGCTCCATGCTCAAGTATGCACTTTCTCTTGTAAAAGTGTAATTCTCAGGATACTCTTAGGTTGACCAGTCATTTTGCTTGCTGTACTACATCACTCGCTATAATGCAGCAGCCCAAGTCCCAGATATAAAATGTCAATTCATTTGATCTATGAATGCATGCAGGTATATGTTAAGGGTGGGCCATCAGCCATTTAAGATTTGAATCCCAGGCAGGAAATTTTACTTATGCATTTTAAAACAGCTTCTAATATCTTACAACAAAACATGTATCAAATTCCAGAGTCCTTATTTAGGCCGACTTTTGTTAGCCACAGTTTTTCTGATTGGAAGCTTTAGGATTTGGACCTTAAGACATGGATAGCTTCTGTACAGGTTCATGTAAGATCATGGGGTTGCAACAAGCATGGAAAAGATAACATCAGCCATCAGAAGAAATCAGCCAAGTCTTAATTTTAGAAGCAAATTCTGCTGTCATATTATAACATCTGAAGACTACATGCTCTCTTGCATTTGAAAACAGCACAGAAAATTGCACAGCCAAAACTTGAGTTGATGTGTTTAATGCACACAGCATGGTCTCCTCTTTATTTCCAGAAGAGACACAAAGGTTCTGTCATGCAAAGTATGCTTTTGCAGGACAGTGGAAACAGTGCTGTTAGATTATCAGTATGTTTGAAGCCACAATGGGACTGTTTTTCCATCTTGGGGGCCAAGTTTCCAAACTGTTTTTCTCTGTACTCAGACTTTGTCTGCTGCTTCAGAAGCCACCAGAAGCTTCCCAGCACCTAATGCTGCAGGCAAATTCCTCGTCCATGAATGCATGTGAAATGTGGAGCCATCATTAAAGTTTGTGCAGATATTTCGTATGTATGGAAGATGTGTATTCCCTCTGCCAGTTTGGCATATGAAATCTTGAAGCTTGGTTGACAGAGCGTTTGAGTGAAGATTTCAGATGCCATGCTGATAGAGGGACTCCTCAGCTCAGGTACTCCGCCAGCCAAGCCCCAGGGGCTTGCTGTGTATGCTTCTAAATGGCATTTCTGATTGATGCTTTCAGCTGACTCATTCTTGGCCAGGCAAAGGAATTGAGTAAAAGTGAAGACTACTAATATAAATGAAATATTGATGGCAAGGGCTCCTTAATAATATTGCAGTGTACATCAAGTAGGGTGTTCCACAGTTAGCCGGGGGTTCTTAGCAGGTATTCACGAAACTCCTGAAATGCTGCAATTCACTTGCAAAGAAAAATGCTGTAGTAGCAGAAGTCCCCTATTACTCTGCTTCCTTATATATAAATATATTTAATAATTTGTAGCATATTTTCTTGACAGTGTTTTCACTTCCTTTTTTTGTCTAGTCACATTTAGTCCTTGAATTCCTTGCTTCCACATATTTTCACTGCTGTTTACTGTGTTGTTGTAACCATAAATAATTACTGATATTGTTGAGTAGCATTTCTGCTGCTTACCTATTCTCCAGGGTATGAATTGAATGATTGGCAAAAACTCAATCAGAGAGTCTTAACTTCCTGGGCTAGCGCGTGGGAATGTAAGATCTTCTGCCATTTATCCTTCAATCCTGAATGCTGACCTGACCAGAGAAGATCAATATAATGTATTAATTTGCCAGGGAGTCAAGGCACATCCCTCATCATGCTTTTTGCATTGATCAGGATTGTGATTCTCATTGCAGGGCTTATAGCTGAGATGAATGTGTCCTTGGCTGATGTTGTGAAATTAGCACCGGAGCCCAAATTGGCTGTTACACCAACTGCTGGGGCTGAGGAGGTGAGCAAGCTTGGGAAATACCATTTTTCTTTTCATTTCCTGTCTTCTTCAAGATGTAGTGGTTTGCTAATTTTTCTAGTAAAATAGATTGATTGAAGAAACATTTCAATACACAATTCTTGTTCCTTGTTGTAAAGATAGATTTGATTTTGGGAGATCTTTAGTGTTGTAATGGTGCAGTAATCTGATCGCTCCATCCAGGTGTGTGAGAGTGATTTTTTTTCTAACTGGGTGTGATCAAAGAGCAAAATGGGTTCCTTAAAGCTCAGAAAAAGTTATAAAATAGATTGAATTTGGGTATAGGTTGATCAGGTTGTAACTGATAATATTGATAAAATAATCTTGACTTGTTTGCAGCAAGCAGCATGGAAAAAGGTATGGTAACAGTGCCTCTTGGCCTCTTGGAAAACATCCTCAAAAATCCTTCCTGTCTGATCTTAAACAGTGGTCAGAAATCATATAACTTAATTTGTAGCTCCCAATTGGAAAGCATGCCAACTGGCAGGATTCAGGTAGGCACAGATCTTTGGTACCATGCCCATCCTGGGAATTGCAGTGCATTTGAATGTGAAGCTTGTGCTTTATGGGGTCACATAGGTAAAGCAAAAGAGTCATTGTTCATAACTATGTCATTCCAGCCCTTGTAACACCAAGGAAGGAATTGTTGTCTCAGGCCTTCCAGTGCAGCCCTGCACTTCTTGCTGTCAGGTGCCAAAGGCCTTAGTTTACAACAGCTTCTGAAATACAATGTCCGGTAATAAATAAACAATACAATATAGCAAGATTCGTAGAGAACACAAGTTTAAATAACCAGAGATGAATCCAGCTCTCTCTTCAGCTCTGCAGAAACTTCTTTTACATCAACACAGCCTTGTGCTCTCCATTTATGACATTTGGATGTGCCCTAACTACAGGCAACAGGGTTTTAAAGCTTTTATTTAAACTGGGAAATTAATGATCTGCCAGAAATACTAACTCCCAGCTACATGTGTAGTGAAGCACCAGATATCATCATGAGTAATAATAGAAATGATCATGCTGCATTGTGCCTGCCAGCATATTATTTAATTATTAACTGAGATGGAGGAGCTCAGTAATCGAATAGAAGTCCCCTTCAGAAATATTAAGACATTGAATAATTTAAACTTGATTGATCTGATCTCATTTACTCAACCTTCCCCCCTCATTTTAAAATATAAAATAATTAACAGCAATGGCCTGTGTCGTGTTTGTTGCAGCTGAAGCCTTCTGCAGAGAATACATTTCAGGAGCAGATCCCTGGTGTCTGATTCAACCTCACGTTGCTGCCCTGTCCCCACCAAAAATGCTGTCTGCTGAAAAGCTGCCAGGCTGGCTTGTGTGGAGGTGGAGAGTGCTGAGACCTGCTTTTGACCCCTTGGTGCTGCTTCAGCTGTAAAACTCAAGGGCAGGGAACATAGCTGTCACTCACAGGGGCCTTGCAAGAGCAGCAAGCACCTTGTACCCCTGCAGGGGCCAAGCTAACCTGACTGGAAAGATCAGTGGGAAATTCATTTACTTCTTTCTATTTTACTGTCTGCATAAAATGGCCTGGAAACTAAAAGAGTTAATTATCTCCCTCTTGATACTTTTCTTCTCCTTTTCCATTTGGTTAGATCTGGCTCTCATAGCATATCTTTTTATTGGTTTTAAATGATGTACAGCAGTGAATTATTGCCCCAGTAGATAAGAGTGAATGATAGAGAAGGTAGTGGCCAAACAACATGTGAAAGAATAACCATTCCTGTGCTTAAGCTTAGCTTGCCAGCTTCATTCCATTAAAAGCAGCTTCTTGCAATTACGTATTCCACGTAATGTTTGTTTTCTTCCTGTCTTACAATTTTGTAGTTGATGGTAGATTCCTTGGCTGGTTTCATGGCTGTGAAACTGCAGAAAGCCAGAGGGCCTGTCAGTAATACAGTGTGTTAGCATGAACAGTGCAGTGAAAATTCATAATGTGATGAGTCAGTTTGATTCTGGTTTTTACAGAGCTGCATGTCCCTGTCCATCCAGTTTCATTCTGGAGGTTAGAGCCTTTCACTTAAATGACAGTTCTTTTTATAAACTTCAGAGTCATCCTGAGGTTAACTTCTGTCTCACTGAGGAACTCTTCTGAAAGACTCTGGCTAACCAATGTGAAGTTCCATGGACCACTTCCCTACATTTTTTGGATGGCCACAGCTAAATCTTGGCAGGGTGGAGAAAAAACAGGTTATAACACAGCAATCTGTTCTGGGTTCATCCTTTCTTCCTGGTATAGGTTGGAGACAACATGTGTTAGATCATTGGAGAGAGGAAAACCTCCTATAGACAGAGGTCAAACACTACAGTTTGATGTAGCTTCCTCTTCATTGCCAAGGTTTATGCATGCAGTAGGGGTTTCCAGGAACCAAAAATGCAAAAAGTGTTTCTTTGATTGCTGAGGGATCGTTTGTGATAACGAATGTGATTTCAGAAAGGAAGGACAAGGCACACAAAACAGCTTTTCTGGTTCAATTAAATTGATGGGCAAGTAAAATGAAATGAAGTCACAAAATGGGGAACATATTGCTTGTGATGGGTGATGAATTAGTAGTTAGTGGAAACTGAAGTCCCATACATTCCAACTTATCTGTCAAAAATGTGACTTTATCCTGTAGCAGACCATCCTGCCTTGGAGAGACCATTTCAAAGAGAATAAATTCCTCTCTGTGGCTATGACCCTGACTCTCTTAGCTGAACCTGATTTCACAGTATATTTGTAGGGTGTGGGGGCTCACTTGAGCTTGTTTCTAATTCTGTCGATGCGCAAACAGGTCATAAGGTATTCTGGTGGTAACCACCATGGTGATAGTCTTTGGTCACTTACTCAACCTAACTAGCTGAGATCAGTCATCTGTGATTTAAGATGATGAATCCTCCTTCTGTATTTTCAGAATAGCAAAAATTAAAGAGTCATCTCACCTCCTCTCCCCCGGAGGAGAAAGATTAATCAGAACCACTGAGCATGACAGAAATAACCAGGAGATTCTAGAGTCTTAAATACGTGATAACAGACAGAAAGAATCTATTATTCCAGCATTAGAATTCAGATCTATTTTAGTAATCTCTTAAAACAGAGATGGTTGGCTAGTTGGTTAATTAAGCAAAAAAGCATGAGAGAGAACATGATTGTCTGGAGTTGATCTCTTGTCATACAAGTTGTGTGCCTGTGACATAGTGTCCCATTTATTGTAATATTTTCCTGTAGGGCTTTGTAGGGAGAAGGCGTAGTGCAGTTCACTACCTCTGGATGTGTAATTTTTGATTGCATTATTGACTCTAGTGAGATGTATTAATCCTGCAAAAATTCAAGAAGGGAAAGTGTAGACCTAACAGGTTTTCTTGACTTTGGTGAATTGCCTTGTAAGTAGGTAGATTTATAGAAGTGACCTTATTACCCAGGAAGGTTATAATGACCTATTTATTGATGTAAAATAATGATATTTTTGTTGAGTTAGATTTTGGAGGGGAGAGGTAGTTTTATAGGATGGGTTTAGGTTGGTAATTTAGTGCCAAGTAGGTAATAATAATACAACGAAAAAAATATAATAGGTATTGATGGGAGTTTGATTAAGGTGATTTGTGTAGCCAATATTTTTTTAACCTATTAAACTGATTAAGATAGGCTTGCAGATTGAATATCTGAAGTAAATAAAGCAGCTGTTTGAGGTATGGTTCCTTGGAGCAGTCTTCGGAGTATTTCAGGAAACTGTCATATTCTTTCTGCTTTACTAGTATTCTGTGTTAAGAAAGGTGAACAACTGCTGTGATTTAAAAACAAAACGTTTGTAACTCTTGATTTCTTAAGAAAATCTCTTTGAGTAATTTGAGTTGTTTTTTTTTTTTTTAAAAAAAGCTATCAAAAGGAGCAAGTGTTTGTGAGAGACTGATTAATTTTAATCTATTCAGGGTAGATTAAATGTACTCGGTAGATTAAAATTAGATAATCATCAGCATCATCTTTGTAAGCTGTACATTTTGAATTGCTCCAATCATTGGCTAACATAGTATTGCAGGACATAGAAGGATCCATGTGGATTGTCACTTGCGGTAATAATTTGTAGCTGGTTTTGCTTTTAGAGGGCGGCAGGGATAAGGTAAATGGTAAAAGCTGTGTTGAGTTCATAGGCTGGTACTATGGTGAGATATAGCATAGGATAACATATTTGATTTAGACTAGAGAGCAGGGTAACACCTATTTGAATGGATTTTCCAGATAGGGAAGGTTAAGTTATTCTCTTTTATAATGCAGTATTTATCAGTGACATTTTCTTAGTTATTTGTGGGATGGTCGGAGTGTGGCCAGATTGTCCAAGGAGAGAAGTTTAGGGTTTGTAAATGAAGCCATCAGAGTACTGCTGATGATGCGGGGTAGGCTATAGAGATAAGCAGGAGAAAAAGTCATAATACAGCAAAGACAATTAAATTATGGACAATAATAAGGTTCATGTTGTGATACATGTAATTACTTTTGTTGAATATCATGGTTTGATATATTAAGTTTGAGGCTATGACAGAGAGGGGGATTTATGTTCTTGATTTTTTATGCATCATTGAGAGTTCTTTATTCCCTTCGGACCTCAATTATAAAAATAAATCTGTATAATTGCCTCAGGAAAAAGACTCCTGGAATCACATAGGAGGAGTTGCCCGAGGTTTTGTGGAGGCAGTTCAGTCACAGCAGATGTGGAGAAGCATCCTTCAGCTGTGTGCGTGCTCAGGCCATGTTCTCAGTCAGTGCAGTTTGGCTTTTCTTCACTGTACTTCATGGGAGCTGCACTGCTTTTGGCCCAAAGCTTCAGCTGGTGTCAAGCTGGCACGTAAAATACTGCTTGTGAAAAGCTTGTAGTACTGCTGCGCTTATCAGCCATGATATACTGGTGGTATTACAGCCAAAGTCCCTGAGGAAGAGGGATTTAAGACTTTGGCTTAGCCCTCTGGACTGCACTGCTTTTTACCCCAAATAAACAGGAACAGAGTACAAGGAATAGTCTTAATTTTTAGTTTGCATTTTTTTCAGATGGTCCATAATGCAGCATTCATTTACACCTAATGGCTGAGAAACTTATTGCAAATGCCTGAATTTTCTCAATTAGCAAGCTAAGTGCTAAAGTCCAATAAACAGGGAAAGAAACTGTACCAGTAAATGTGGTTGTTCATTTATTTTGACACATTTTAATTTAGAGTGATGTATTAACAATAATACTTCCCAGCCTTCTACTAAATGGTCTGTTGTGTATTTTGTAAAGATACCGCTGGGTAAGTAATATGGAGCCTGCTTTCTTACTGCCTGAGCTCACTTAGCACTGCAGCTCTGTTGTGCTGAATCTTTGCTGAGAAGCGCTTAGGGTTTATCAAATTTACAGAATAGCAAAGTAAGGAATAGTGAAGCTTGATTATAGATGCTTCAGTGAATAAAGGAGCTGGTTTTGTTTGACATTCTGATACTTCCACTATAGCCATAGTTGTCTGCTTAATATTTTGTTTACTCTGATATGCATATTTAGAAGAAATGGGAGCAATAGTATTCTTTGAGAACATGAAAAGAATATATATGTATATGTACTTCACTGAGCCCTCAAGGCTCTCATGTAGTTAGTTAAAAGTACCATACCAAGTCATGTGGCATTTCATAATAGTGGTGCATTTTATTTTCTAACCCCATAAATTTGCATAGATCTCCATGACCTCAGCATCACTGTCCTGTGGAGAAAAGGAGTTGGGGCACATACATGTTAAATGACTTGCCTGGAGTCACTCAGTGAGTCTGTTGCAGAGGTAGGAGTAAGTAGATTTCTGTGTTTTAATCAGTGAAAGGGACTGTAAGACTCAGTCACTGTGAGATGGGTTAAAAACTGTCCTGATGATGCCTTGGCTAGCAGTGTCTCTTTCTGTTTGCTGTAGATGCTCCTTCTTTTCTTCCCCTTCATATACTTAATCTGTTGTATTAGAAATGTATTTTAACTTCTGTAATACCTTGTTGGCAAAAGGGAAGAGTTGATCAAAACAGGCTCCTTTTGCAGAATTTGTCCATTAAGTTGCTCTGACCTGCCATGGTGGAAGTGTGAATGAAGAGATAAATCCAGCTTTCACTGCTCAAACTGAAGCAATCATTCAGGAAGAAGGAATCACAGAAACTGGATATTTTGCCATCAATTGAAACACAAAGTCAAAAGATGCTAATTCTTTATGTCCTAGATGAGAAAACTGTGATTTTTTTTTTTATTTTATTTTTTTTTTCCTTTGATCTGAAAAGGTGTAAGTGTTATAGACACTCAGGGTCCTGCTGGACTGTGCATAAAACTGCATAAGAACACCCTGTCTCTTCCTATGGCCTCATAGTTTACACTTGAAACATTTTCCTCCTGAATTTTTCATGCATATACATATGCAGTTGTTGGCTGTGGATCTTACCTGGAAAAGGATAAAATGCATTTAAATGCTGGATCTCACTTATTGATGAGAGCAGTAATTCACTTTACTGGGTATGATTCATTATGGCTCTATAACCTCTTTGAACCTGGAGCCAGGAGTGAGACTGCCATGATTATGAATAACATCAGTACAGAGGGCTTGTAGACTAGACTGGCGGCCCCTAGGATTCATTGCGGCAGGGATATGACCTTATGGCATCCTCCTAAGGGCTGCTCCAGCCTGTACCAGACCCCACACTGGCTCCTAGCAGTCCTTTCTTTGTGCTCAAGCCAGCAAATGAGTGAATCTTGTCAAACTACTGATTTTATTAGATGGACAGTTAAAACCAGAAAGAGGATATAAGGAAGAAGGTGCATTTCCAAGATCTAGATGTTTTGAGTTGGAGCCAGCAGTAGGGCTAGGCTCTGTTCCAGCTTTCTGCTATGTAACCTGGTCACATACAAGCAGCTCATCTTCTGCAGTATGTCCTGTGATGAATTTGTATAAGAGTGAAAAAAAACAAGGCAACAAAACAAATCCCAACATGAATCTTGCCCATGTTCAAAAGCATAGGGTGTGTTTGAATCTGCAGTTTTGAATGCATTTGAGTCTTGATTCTTCTTTTTATGGTTGTAACAATTCTAGATCTAAACATTCCTGGAGAATTCTAGCTAGGGAAGTACAAATAAGCTACTTAGATATTTGATGTAGTTGTGGAAAGAAGTTGAGTCTCTATTTGTCTCCCTGGGCCTGAACTCGGAGTGCGGAGCCTGGCCATGGAGCAGATTGTAGATAAGTCATGGCTGTGAAAGATGTGAAGGAGAAAATAAGCTCAAATAGATATGGGAGTATGAGAAGGGTGGGAGAGGGTGTGTGAAGTGTATTTTAGAAGGCCTTGGTCAGCATATTGGCCAAGGAGGACCTTTCTGATGGTGGTGTTTGACTGTGCTTATTAGCAAGGCAGAGGAGGAGGGGACAGAGGCAATGATCCATCCTGAGGTAGCGGAGGGAGGCAAGGACGGAGTTCTGCTTCGGTGATTAGGACAGCTATTATGGAGGGGGCATGTCAGACTGAGAGAGGTGACTTCAGCTGAGCTGCTTCTCTGGAAGTAAAATGACTTCTGCTTATGGCAAGAAGTCAGCCACAATATGAACAACCTGTGCATGTCATAAAATTAAGTTGTAAAGGAGAGATGGTAAAAAGGACTGTGACATTTGAAGAAGAAAGACTGCAGCGTTTTCTTAAACTAATTAGAGGAAAAAACCCTCAAACCTTCAGGTACCTACAAAGATGCTGCATTTTTCAGGTCTGAAGATGTAGTTAAAAACTGCAGCATGATTTAAAAATCTAATTTTTTGTCCTAGACATATTTATTTCTTTTTCCTTTTTAGATCTATTGTCCACTTCTGAAAAGATATGCTGAGCTTGAACAGAAGGTTGTCTGCAACCCAGCGTCCTCTTGTCTTGCAAAATAGAAGCAAACAAAATTTATAAGTTGGCTGAAGAGCGGACTCCCAAGGAGAAGATCAGAAAAGATTTGCTCAGAATTTACTGGAGTTGTTTAAATCATTTTGTTCCTCTTAGTAGACAAATAATTTTTAAATGTCTGTATTTGAGTGTGTTGGTGGAAAAAATTACATCATGATTGAAAACATGATTAAAAAAGCATCATATTGCTCTGTGTGTTTGTAACTTCAGTTTTCCTTAGGTACTTTTTCAGATCATTGCTGTTTTGGAGTAGCTGGATGACAAAGTCAAGTCCCTTGTATCTATGAATCACTCTACTCATCCCTGTCAGCTCTGATTATGCAGTCGGGCCAGCTTTTGCATACCTATCTGGCAGAGTATCTTAATTCCACAACTTCTGCTTAAATCTTTTGAGGCTGTCTTTCTGTACATCTGTAGCTTGTTGATGTTTAACATCTCTGCCTACATGAAACCAACAGACAACATAAGCACGCCAACAATCCCATTTTTCTTTAATATGTGGAGATTTGTGGTATGAAGGATGATTAAAGTCTTTAAAGACTCCATGAAATCCTCAGAGAAGGGGAATTCTTGTTATATGACACTATGGAAAGTCTGTTGTGTGATAAAACATGATGTGTTTGGATTTTATAAATTGTGGAAAGCACAGAGGCCTTATGTGATACAGACACCATTGTACAATGTTTTACTTGAGAACGGTTTTGTAAAAAGAAAATGAGGGAACAAACATGGGAAGTTTTACACATTTCCTGTCTGTTTCAAAAGGCAGTCAGTTCATCTGCACACTAGTTTGGGGTTATTCTGTTTTCCTTTCCTCCTTCAGGTGTTGTGGCTGTAAAATTTTTTGTGTTGTGCCGAGTGTGAATGCAGAAGTCAGGCTCTGCTCCCAGCAGGGCATGAAGGTCATGTTTTTTGATACAACCAATGTCCTATTTCTTTCTCAGATAACTCAGCAATACTGGTTACTGTCTTGCTCTGTTGCTACTCTTTCACTTCAAATGTTTTAGTCCAGGTTAAGTAGCCTCTAGCTGAGAAAATCTTAAGAGAAAATACAAGCCAGAAGATCTTTCTAGAGAGACATGTTGGAAGTCACAGAATTTGAATGAACATCCTAAATCATCCTGTGCAAGTAGGAACACTTTACTGCACCATTCTGCAGTGCGGGCATCTTTCCCTTAGGATAAAATTTCTTCTGGGAATAAAGCAGACTTAGTTAATGCAAGTGACTGAAGCCTTTCTTCCCTTCTTGTAGAAGTTGTAACGTGCCTAGGGAGTTGCAGGGGGAAGAGGATCTCTTTACTGAGTATTTGAGAGCAAGATTATGTCCCTGCTGGAGCTGGGTGACTCAAATTCATTTTCTTCACATTACAGGGGCATAGGAGCACTCTCCCTGTCCCTGCTGTATCTCTGCGGTGAGGGTGGGACCCCTTGCCATGACTCACCTCCGGAGTGGCAGAGGAATGGGCATGTTCCTACTTTGCTCTCCCTTTTCTATTTAAGTGCTTCATTTGTGAGTACGAACAGTACCTTTTTTTGTTCACAATTGAATAATTATAACTTCTCTTGATATTAGTATGATTACTCAGGAAGGTCAAGAATTACATTTCCGAGTTTCTAAAGCAGGCTTCTTTTAAGCAATTGCTTTAAAAGGTGGTATTACAAATACACATCTATCTCTTTTATGTGCTTATTATTCTGGGTCCCAAGGTACAGTGCTAAAACATATAATACTTCTCACAGACCTCCACCGTCAGCAGTTGCTTTGTCATTGAGCAAGGCTGTAGAGAGGTACAGAAGGATTCATTAATGCAAGTTAAACAATGCCTACTAGTTTAAGCAGTATTACCACTATCAATTAGTCTTTAGTTCTGCCTGGTTACTGGTTTGACATCAAGGTTAACAACACTGGGAAGAGATTCAGAGAGCTTTTTTAGCTGTGTGCAGTTTTGGTGACCATTTCTTGAGATAAGCTCATTTGGCTTATCAGAGTAAGAAGACTGATATCTCTTGTAGCTTTGTGGCTTTATTTGGCTCTGAAATGGAAAATTCAGGGTCAATTTCTTAGCTGAAGAAGGTTAAAGCTTACATTTCCCAGCTTGTGGCATAGGTTAGAACATTTATAGATAATATATTGGCTCCTAGCAAAGCATTATATGATGCTAATAGGATATTGTTTAGATGGCTTTAACTAGTTTCTGGGCCTGAGCTGTTCTCTGGGTAGGGAAAAGGGAACACTTCCTTCTCTGTTGAATGGGTTGGGGTGCTCTTGTGTGTCCCGCATTAGTGTTAAAACACTTTCTTTGAGGTAGCTGATGCACTGTGTGCTTGCTGCAGGAGTCCCTGAGAAAAGACTGAGATGCAAGGCTCTGAAGGGCCAGGATTTGAGCACCACTGAATTAAAGTATTGCTGTGGTGATGGGTTTATTAGGGCTGGCCTCTGAGGAATGGTGTCTGGAGTATAAGAATTTATAGACAAGCTTTTTTTTTTTCCAGCTCACCAAAGTTGCACATGTTCACTGACTAGTGTCAGATAGAATAAGACTCAGTAAATCTCCCCCTTGAAAGGCCCTTTGAAGAAATGCTGCTGTAAGACTTCCACCACTCTTTTCTCTCTTTTCTGGAATGCACATTAGCCTGCCAAGGAACCACAGGCTTCTTGTTCTTACATGCACATTGCTTTAAAAAAGCCCCACTGATGGAAGGATCTGTTGTCCTTTAGTTTCCAAAATCATGTGGGTTTTTTGCCAGCTTGTCTACCTTACATTATTCTGGTTGTCTGCAGTAGAGAGGTTTCTGACTTAACATTTTAGCTAACAGAAGGTGAGCCAATGTCTTCTACCTCAACATATTTGATGGAGGTTGATTCCCTCCATCCCCATTCAAGGTGAGAAACATGGCATCCCCATCTTGCCTAGATGAAAGGTTATCTTCTGTGTTTGAAGACCTGCTCAGCTATTCCCAGTTTAGACTGCTGCATCACACAGACACACACAGGTCTATGGGACCAGATGGGATACACCCGAGGGTGCTGAAGGAGCTGGCTGGGATGCTCGCCAAGCTGCTTTCCATCATTTATCAGCAGTACTGGCTGACTGGGGAGTCCCAACAGATTGGAAATCAGCCAATGTGACACCCATATATAAGGGTTGGAAGGATGATCCAGGAAATTACAGGCCTGTCAGCTTGACTTTGGTGCCCGGGAAGCTGATGGAACAGCTCATCCTGAGTACCATCACACAACACATGTGGGACAAACAGATGCTCAGGCCCAGTCAGCGTGGGTTTATGAAAGGCAGGTCCTGCCTGACAAATCTGATATCCTTCTACGACAGGGAAACCTGTTTATTGGATGAGGGAAAGGCTGTGGATGTTGTCTCCCTTGACTTCAGTGAGGCCTTTGATACCGTTTCCCACAGCATTCCCCCGGTGAACCTGGCTGCACGTGGCTTGGATGGGCACACGCTTCACTGGGTAAAAAACTGTCTGGATGGCTGGGACCAGAGAGTTGTGGTGAACGGAGTTAAATCCTGTTGGTGCCCAGTCATGAGTGGTGTCCCCCAGGGCTGGGTTTTGGGGCCACTCCTGTTTAACATCTTTATTGATGATCTAGACGAGGGGATCGAGTGCACCCTCAGTCAGTTTGCAGGTGACACCAAGTTGGGTGAGAGTGTTGATCTGCTCGAGGGCAGGGAGGCTCTGCAGAGAGACCTGGACAGGCTGGAGCCATGGGCTGAGGCCAACTGGAGGAGTTTCCATAAGGCCAAATGCCGGGGGCTGCCCTTGGGACACAACAACCCCCAGCAGTGCTACAGGCTTGGGGAGGAGTGGCTGGAGAGCTGCCAGTCAGAGAGGGACCTGGGGGTGCTGATTGACAGCCGGCTGAACAGGAGCCATGAGTGTGCCCAGGGGGCCAAGAAGGCCAATGGCATCCTGGCTTGTGTCAGCAATAGCGTGGCCAGCAGGGACAGGAAGGGATCTTACCCCTGGACTCGGCACTGGTGAGGCCGCCCCTCGATTCCTGTGTTCAGTTTTGGGCCCCTCACTACAAAAAGGACATTGAATGACTCGAGCGTGTCCAGAGAAGGTCAACGAAGCTGGTGCAGGGTCTGGATCACAGGTCGTACGGGGAGCGGCTGAGGGAACTGGGGTGTTTAGTCTGGAGGAGAGGAGGCTGAGGGGAGACCTCATCGCCCTCTACAGCTCCCTGAAAGGAGGTTGCAGAGAGCTGGGGATGAGTCTCTTTAACCAAATAACAAGTGACAGGACAAGAGGGAATGGCCTCAAGTTACACCAGGGAAGGCTTAGACTAGATATTAGGAAGTATTTCTTTCCAGAACGGGTTGTTAGGCGTTGGAATGGGCTGCCCAGAGAGGTGGTGGAGTCCCCACCCCTGGAGGTGTTTAAGAGTTGGGTTGACACAGCAGTGAGGGGTATGGTGTAGTTGGGAACTGTCAGTGCTAAGTTAACGGTTGGACTGGATGGTCTTCAAGGTCCTTTCCAACCTTGTTGATTCTGTGAATCTGTTGGCAAATTGATCTCATCTCCTGGAAAAAAAAGAAACCAACCCTTGGTTACCACAAGGAGGTTGTTCATCGCTGTCTAACCTGCAGCTCCTGTCCTGCACAAGCAGCACCATTCTAGGTTGGAGGTGTGTCACAGAGTTACATGGAAAAATCCAAGCAGCTTCCTTAGCTCGATGGGCCTGTGCCCTCACTAGTCAATCAGAGCTGTACTGGATTCACCCACAAGCTCCTGGTGTACCATGACCCAAAGACAAACAGTTTTCTTTGCAGCCTGAAGTCTTTAAAGACTTTTGTGATGCAGCTGGAAACAAACAGGGAAAGTTGTTTGCTTTTTCTTAAGGGATCAGCCTGAGAGAGCCGGAGCTCTGATTGAATAAGTAATGTACTGAAAAAAGTCTATGTTCTGCCAGCGCTTTAATAAGTAATTGAGCTGAATACCGCCGTGCGCGATCCCAGTGGGACCTTTTTGTTTTTCAGCTTTCTTTTCCTTTGGAGTTGCTGCTACCACCACAGATCACAGAGCAGTGCGGTGAGGGTTATGTATCTGAAGCCACAAAAAGCCAAAGCAGAACTTTCAACAAATCATTTGTTTTATCTATATTTCTATTACCTTGGTCCCCAGGCTGCCACGTGCAGCTCAGGAGCTGAGGGAAGAAAAGAGTAACATTTTAGAGAACTAAACTGTCTGCTGTTGGTGCTTGTCATGAATATGGGGCCAAATTATAACCCCTTCCCTAGCAGAAAGGTGCTAATTTGGATTTTTCTTCTCCTCAGCCACTGAATTTTCCTCTCAGGTTTTGATTTTGTAACCTCTCAGATTTTGATTTTGGCGAGATCTCAATCCTCATGTTGAGTTGGGTTCAAATTGGCAAACATATGGCTAAGGATGATAGATGGGTGGACATTCACTTAGATACCAAGGGGATCATTATCCTGTGGGGAATGTTTTCTTAAGAAGCTTCTCTGAAGGTGACTGTAGTCCTGATTCCACGTGGCTTGAAATTTTAGTAGTGTTTTGTGCAAATGGGTAGAAAATCATATGTGCACCGAAGGATCTTACTTTGTTATTACTTTACACTCATTTTGTGGAGGTCAAAGTCACAATGTGATGTGGAAGACAAAAGAATTTGGGGTGATTGTTTTTGGTAACCTGCTTTTTTCTGAGCATGTCTTTAGAGTGTGTGAGTAGGACATCTTTGACTGGGATATTCAGAGGAGTTACAGCCCCTGCTCACCTTCTGTACTTTGATGACAGCCTAGGTCAAGCCTCATTGGTTAGCCAGTTCCAAGTGGTTTAGCTTTTAATTATCAAAGTTTACATATCCAGAATGTAAGATTTTGAGGTTTTTTTTCTCCCTAGAACCTTTTTTTCCTCTCCCACAGCAGATACGACCTTTTCTTGTGCACAGTTTGCCGTTAGCTGTTTCCATTTCTGTGGGATGCTAAGAACTTCTCTTACACGACACTTTCCAGAGTGAACTTGTCTCCTGCTGAAATCCAGCCTCAAGAGTTATTTTGCTTTACTTGTTCTTCTGTTTCTTTGTTGCTTCTTAGATTTGGCCTTGACAAACAGAATGATGCTTCTGCAGTGATCCCAGACTTCTGGGAATGTCTTGACATTGTGAGAACTCAATTACTTTGTTCAGTTTTCTTGAAATACATATACTGAGGGG